ACAACTGCCACTAATTGGCACATTGAGATTACTGGACTTGTAAATCTGAAAAACAGCTTTCGTTGCGTCTCTCGGTCCTTCGTAAGGTAGTTACTAGTGTGCCAAGAAGGGACTGCGGTCTGAATATCGTCTTTACAAAAAGGCGCCATGCGTGTTAAACAATACTTGAGCTTAGCATCCTCATTTTGCAAAGAGGGGTTTCTGAGAAAATGACTGTCTACAGTGCACTCAACGTACCTCTACAGTAAGCTATCATCGAGTATGGATGAAATATCGTAATACCGTGCACGAAAACCTTTGAGCAAACGTTTTTGTTCTAGGCCATATGAGTATCGGAGGAACTAAGGTAGAAGAGAGACATTGGCTCCTATAGCTCCTCAATATATTAAAACAAGTTCGCTCGTAATTGTTCTTGGGCATCTGATATCTCAGGTATGTTTAAAAAAGTATTTTGGCAAGGACTCCTCTGTTTTCTCTGAGCGATAATATAAATTCATAAACGTGAAATCTGTTTTTTCCTGCTAATGTAAGGACTTCTCCAAAATGCTTTTCTCCTAATGTTATGCTTGCAACAAATAAATTCTGATCTATAAATAATTACATTTTATCATATTTATTCAGAGGATAGGATATTAATGTTTTTTCAAGAGAAATATTCTCAAAGTGTGGATGTTTTAAGGCCCAGTTTGATAAATCAAACATAAACATTGCCGAAGTAGTGCAGTAAAACCTGGACAAAACATTGCATATAGGCTTATATGCAAAGGTTTAATATCGATATTTCTCATGATGAAAGATTTTATTTTTGTTAAACAACGCAAAGAGGCGAGTGTTTGTGCAATGGCTAATAAGTCATCCAGCTCTTCTTGTGGAAAGAGAATCTTGAATCCGATGAGTGGTGCATAGTGTAAAGTGTCCCTACTTTGTGAAAGAAGAGGATCGTCAGTCTGGAATATTACACTAAAAAATATGACTACGAGGTCTATCATTGCTATAAGCAGGCTATGAGTTTAGTTCTAATCAACAATGACTTGCTTGAGTCACTCTGCCAAGAAGCCTTCTCGTTCAGATGTTGTACAAATTGGTAAAACTTATAACAAGTTTAGAAGACTTGTATAAAACTCATTACTTAATATATCTTTTGCGCTTAAAACAACTGCACTTCTTATGCTATATTAACTAAACTACTAAAATTTAAGATGTGTATGCACATTTTCAAAATGAAAGTCTGACACTTTAAACTCAAGTTAACATCTTTTGCATCGATTTCCTCATTTTTATCCAGTCTAACTGGTTTTTAATCGGCTCG